TCTCTCTCTCTCTCTCTCTCTCTCTCTCTCTCTCTCTCTCTCTCTCAACTGATATCATGTTAGGTTAACAACTCAGTTTCTAACACTACAAGTTTTCCACCACTGGTGGTTTCCAAGCAGTAGAACCTTGTCTTCTGTAGTCTCACTTTTAGACAATAAAAATAACTGCAGAAGAACATATGTTCTAGAATTAATGCACAGATGGGCAAACATGTTTCAGGTTTTGAAACTTCCATCAGTTTTATAGCAGCTTAAAAGAAAATGCATGGAAAGCTAAATTCACTGACATCTGCAGGTTTTCCTAATATCTACATAGATTGGTGTGCAATTTTCTCCAACCGATAAGAGTTTTAAAAAATCAGCAAAAAGAATTACAATTACAGTGTATTTGTCTGTGGGGAGGGGAAGATGATTGCTTAAATGCATGTAAGAATACCAAACTACCTGGAACATTAACAATTCCCAATAATGGAAACTGGCCACAGAATACCTAGTCCTAGACTTAGGACCAAAACTGAACCCAAAATTTCTGCTGCTAGGTGAGCCAGTTGTTAAGTGAGTTTTGTCCCATCTTGCCCAGTGGTGGGATTCAAATTGTTTTACTACTGGTTCTATGGGCGCAGCTTGGCTGGGTGGGCGTGGCTTGGTGGGCGTGGCAGGGAAAGAATACTGCAAAATCCCCATTCCCTCCCCACCCCACTAACCTGCTTTCCAGCTCTGTTCTCCTCTGCAGGGCAACCAAAGAAGATCCAGCCAATCAGCTGGGACTCAGGAGGCAGAGAAGAGATGGGGGCGGGGCCAGTCAGAGGTGGGATTTGCCGGTTCTCTGAATAACTCAAAGTTTCCGCTACTGGTTCTCCAGAACTGGTCAGAAGGTGCTGAATGCTACCTCTGATCTTGCTCCAGTTATTAAGTGAATCACTGTAGTTATTAAGTTAGTCATTTGTTTGTTAAGTGAATCTGGCTTCCCCATTGACTTTGCTTGTCGGAAGTTTGCAAAAGGAGATCCCATGATCCCAGGACATAGCAATCATCATAAATATGAGTTAGTTGCCAAGCATCTGAATTTTGATCACATGATGATGGGGAGGCTTCAATGGTTGTACATGTGAAAAAGGGTCACTTTTTCAGTGCCATTGTAAATTTGAATGACTACGAAGCGAACTGTTGTAAGTCTATCCGTACACATCATGAATTGTGGTATATTTGTTATCTAGAGAGAAGACACTGTGTTTCAATAAATGTTTTGTGCATGTAATACCTGTTGCTGATTGGGCTTTGTGTGTATTTTCATCATCAGTCAAGTTTTATACAGTTTCCTCAAAGGTCATGCTTGCATTTAATTTTAATTCTTTTGAACATGCGAGCAAACTTAGAGAGTTGCCTTGAAGTGAGATGGGTAGCGAGCAAGTCTAAATCAAATCAAATCAATCAATCAATACAATATAATATTCATATTGCTTGCTACAATGTTGAGCACCCTGTGCTTTTGTATCAAGCATCATCTGCACATATTAACATTCAAATAAATCTGCTGTTAACTTGAATTTATTTTTACGAGCTTGAGGAATTATAAATAACCATTAAAAAGTATATTGATTTAGTGATCATTTGAAAAAAGACACCTGTGGTGTCTTGACCGTAATTCATTGCTTGAGAATATCAGTTGATATGGGATTGCTAATAATGTATATTCAGAGCACCAATAATTTATTATAAGACTAGCCTAATCATATATTGATCAGACCTGTGAAAATAGATCCACCAGGTAAATCTTGGGACTTTAAAATGTATATTTCATTGATTTATGCAGTTCATTTCAACCTAGAATTTAGGGAATTAAAATCCTGTGAATTCTCATCAGTCAATGTTTGTGGGAAAAGTTTGATTAAACAATGAGATGTAATGACAAGGCCAAGAGTTTCCCAGTTCTGTTGTGTATCTTGGAAAGGAGGTTACGGGATCAAACATTATTTGAGTATTAGCCCAATGATTTTGTAGGATTATTCTGCTGTGATAGAACACAGGGGATTTTTTTAACTGAAGTGGAAGATTGCAAATAAAAAAAAAAAAAAGACTTTTTAGCCAGGCAAAAAGGACAATTGGAGATTCTAGCTTCCATAATATAGGAGTTTCATTTGTGTCATACAGAGGAATGTTCAGTTACAATCTTACTTACTCAACCTCAAAAATCAAAGCACTAATCAAGTTGGATCTGATCATGTAGTGGTGGTGACTAACATCTTGACCCACTCCCATGGATGTCCTTGCCTGTATCCATGAAGTCACCAAGATTCAAGGATGAGTCAGGGAAAACCGTCACATTGGACCTGATTAGTACTTGAACATGATCTTCCAATTCATAGACTCTAATAAGAAACTGGAAACAGGAATTCTGGAAGAAGGTAAGGAAAAATGTTGCCTTGTTCTTGTCAAAAAAGTAACATTGATGTATCCAAGATCATCTTCATGGGAAGGAGGCCAAAAGGCAAGTGATGGCTGTGATCACATGATCAAAGTTTCATCGCCCTCCCTTGTAAGTACATGTGATCTTGATGTATGTTTGTTCCAAAGGGGTAGGCTTTGATCATGGCTGCCATGTTGAATTAACTGTCCCTGCTGCCATGGATGTCCTTTCTTGTATTCATGAAGTCTTCGAGGTTCAAGGATGACTCAAGGAAAACCATCAGGTTTCTAAGCATCGATGTTCATTAGCAGTGGTGAGGGAGTAAATTTTTATTTGATTTATTTGATTTGTCAATCGCTTACAAGATAATAGGTATAAGTATAAACATGAATAAGAATACAGGAAATAGGTACGAATAAATAGGGACAAAAAGACAGAGATGGTAGGCACAATTGTGCATTTATGCATGCCCCTTACAGACCTCTTAGGTCAATAGTGGATAGTGAGGTCAATAGTGGATAGTGAGGTCAATAGTGGATAGTGAGGTCAATAGTGGATAGTTTGAGGTAAATGGTCCAATTTAACCATTTTGATAATGATAAATAAGTATGATACATTTTCATGATTTTGGAAAGGCACCAACTTCATCTCTGCAGTTTCTCCATGATGGACCAGGGGTTCAGTCCTTTGATTAGAAGCTGAATTTGCAGAATATTGTCAAGCTGTAATTTCATGGGTATATATATAGTAGACAATGAAGAGAATTCTGCTAAAGTTTTATCAAAATCAGCTTAATAGCATACTTAGCTGATTGAATTCTTTATATCAATAAAAACAATATTTTTAGAATAAATGAATTGCCTATAGACTTTGTATGGATCGATATATGGCTCATTTACACAATGTATAGAAGGTTTAAAAGCACGATTGTCATCTATATACTGTATATATCAGAGGTAAACATACATACATATTAGTGTTTCATATAATTATATATACAATCTATTTTTTATTACTCTATCTTCATGTGTGTGTGTGAGTTGTATTTTTTTCCACTTATTTTTAAGCATTTGTTATGTATTTTTGATAAAGTATCTTTGTTTTTATTTCCTGTTGTTTTTCTTCCTTTTTTGGTCATTATTTGAAAAGCAATAAACATAATATAAAAATCAAGATATACAGGAATCTTCTGACTTTTATCAACACGCCTTTTAACAGCAGGCAAGAAAAACGGGAAATTTGAAAAGGGTTGCACATCTTCCATGCCAACACAATCCTGTGCACTAATATTAAAACATCTGTACAGTTCATTTTAACACAGAAAAGTGCCCTCTTTAAAATAATGATTAGCCAACTGGAAAATCATGGCCGATGTGTGTGGAGGAGGATTAGCAAAGAATTCTCAATTAAGACTCCTGATTTTCCACAAACCAAAAAAGTTATTTCTTCTAACACTGTATTTATGCTACTGCATTTGTCCGCTGCTTTTTCAGAGATTCAGAGTGCGGTTTAAACTTCTTTCGAGATGTGTGCTAATGTTATTCCTGGCACATATTATCCTTCTTTCCTTTTTATTTGAATATCAATGCACATATTAGAAAAGGGTATATGTCATATTTCATGAAAGGTAAAACATATCTCTTGCTCAAAAATACATGCTCTTGAAAGTGCACACATTTGAAAATTGGCACATACGCTCAGAATAAAACAGATACATTACACTTTATTTATGAAGAAGCCCTGAAACATTTTGCAAAGTTAAACTTCACATCAAATGAAAAGAGAGAAAAAATCTAATTTATCTTACAGTCAGCTTACTAAAATGTCAGCTTGTTTTTTTTTTTTTTTTTAATGATATATACCTTCTCTAGAAATGAATAGTAGCGACTAGATGAGAAAATAAAATCAAAGTAAGATGGCATGTTATTTTGTTGGAAAATGCAAGACCAATCTAAAGGATATGTTAACAGCAGTATCACACTTGATTTTGATCCACTTAGTATTGATCAGGTAGATAATAAAAGTCAGCGGACTTTGTACTTTGGTCTATGAAAGTAAATTGAATAAATAAATATATGTGTGTTGTATAAATGGAACTGTATGTGTACTCCTCTTCTCAGTCAATTCTCTATTATATAATAAAATTAAAAGTTTCCAGATGCTACTGTAGAACCCTAGAAGGTTTTAGCCCAATGTAGATTCACCCTTGAAATTACCACATGTAGTGAGATGAAACTACTTTATTCCTTCCTTTCTTCCTTCCTTCCTTCCTTCCTTCCTTCCTTCCTTCCTTCCTTCCTTCCTTCCTTCCTTTCCTTCCTTCCCCTTCTCTGAGATCCTTCTTTAAATTAAGACCCTTCTTTCCTTCCTTCCTTCCTTTCCCTCCGCTGAGATCCTTGTTTGAATTAAGATAATCTCCTTATATTTCTCCTTACCTTTTATTTCATTCCAAAGGCATAACAGTTTGAAAACAGAAAGCAATAAACAATAACAAATCTGGACATAAAGCAGAAATTGGAAGTTTGTTCTAATATGAAACTGTGTCAGTCTTGCATATATTTTTTCCTAGAAGTCCCTTCTATCACATTTCCATATTAATCTATGAATTTCAAGTGGTGTTGGGTTGATTTTTTTCCCCCTCTGCCTTTCTGCTACCTAAGGGAAAGTGGGAGTTGTAATTTTCTCCAGAAATTTATTGCTTTCTAGTGCTGTAGTAAAGGGACAATCCTAGACTGAGAAATCAAAAACCATCTCTCTCGAACCTACATTGCACTAATATGGTGGATATTAATGTTTCATTAGAATGGTCCATAATGTTCAACAAGGAGACATTCGTTCTTCTTCCTGAGTTGGCAATATATATGCAAAGATAAAAAGATGAAAATTCTTGTACTCTTGGCATTTTGGCCAAAAAAAAAAAAAAAGTTAAAATAAACTTGGTGCAGGATTGTTTCAGAATAGGTCGAATTGGAGGGGGTCAAATTGATATCTGTATCTATAATGAGCGGACACATCTTTTAATTCAAGGAAACAAGATACATAAGAAATATCTTATATTATGGAGATCAAACCAGTCAATCCTAAAGGAAACCAATCCTAACTTCTCTTTGGAAGGACAGATACTGAAGCTGAAGCTCAAATCCTTTGGCCAACAAATGAGAAGAGAGGACTCCTTGAAAAATACCTCGAAGTCGGGAAAGATAGAAGACAAAAGGAGAAAGGGGTGGTAGAGGATGAGATGGTTAGTGTCATTGATACAATGAACAAGAGTTTGAGCAGACTCAAGGAAACAGTGGAGGATAGGAAGCATGGCATGCTATGGCCCATGGGATTGCGAAGAGTCAGACACAGCTTAGCAATGGAATAGTAATTTGATATTATAAAACTTAGCAGCAAGACATGTTAGAGGTTTTCCCATCCATTTCCCCATATCTCAACTCTTCACTTGAAAAGAAATAAAAGTATTGGAAAAAAAAATTACATTCAGGTGTGTAAAAAGTTAGCACCCGCCCCTCTCCTAGAAGAATGAAATATTTTAGGAAATATTAAAAAGGCAGAATATTATATTTCCCTGCATGATGAATTGAGAAACATGCTCTTGGAGACGGAAACTCAGCCCCAGCTCTCTGTCCCCAGAAGACATGTTGGTGCCAGCTTATCTACAAGACAAAAGACCTTCAGCTCCAGGATGATGGGATTATTCTTCAGGGCAAAACCATTCAGCCACAATAGGAATTGCCCTTCATTGCATCACCCAGCAAGATTCAATCAAGCCTGGGACACAGACAGCCTACAAAGTTAGCTATGACCCCCACATAGCCCCCTCGGAGTCTGACAGAGAGAGAGAGAGATTGATATGGATAGAGATAGAGATAGAGATAGAGATAGAGATAGAGATAGAGATAG